GTAGTTTGAACATGTGTGGCCTAAATAAGCTAAACCCCCCTCCCTTACCTTATTTAGGCCATATGTGGCCTAAATAAGCACTCCCTAAAATTATTGCTGCTGCTACCACTACTGCCGTTACAACTACTGCTGCTGCTAGGCCTACGTTCTGTCATCGATTAAGAAGGATAATAATAATGGGTGGTGGCAGCTAGGTGCTCTGGTACAGTGTGGTTTGCTCCTTCTTTCCTATCAAACATCTATCACCCTTATCTCTGCTTTCTTTTATTTGTGTTTGTTACTCTCTTGTAACTTCTAATCATCGGCACTTAGATCTATTATAATGATATGACGCTTATTGTGTGTGTCATAAAACTAACAAAACTAAGAATTGACATGATAGTGAAAAACAATTTCTTCCTTATTTCTCTCTTTACATTTTTAAAGTGAATCTAGACCCCCCAAAAAGAGGAAAAGAAAAAGAATGAAAAGAAAAGTTTTCAAAGAAATAGGTAGAAAAAACCCAGAGGTAATTATTAAGACGTAATCTGGAATTGTAGGATTTTACACATAAAGCATACAATTTTTGCAATTACGAGAGACTTCCATGAAAATCGAACAAATCATAAATAACATGTTACATGTATATCAACAACATTTTAGAAACACTTTATATAGCTAAACAAAGTTTCCATTATAAATTATAAAACAGAAATAGCCTTGGTTGTATTTTTCTCATGGCTTAAATTGAGATATTATAGGAATCTAAGTACAATTACTTAATTATTATTGATGTGATGTGAGCCAATGGCCATAAACGCTAAATAAAATACCTATCTTCCTACCTACTTTACCCGCTCAGAGTTCCTTGAGCTGTTTGATGCCTTGAATGATTTATTTGAATTCTCCTTGCATTAATTGTAGGCCTATTGGCATTGGAGAACATCTAGACAATGATCTTTGATCTAGACAATGATAGTACATAACAAGATGGGCCACTTCTCTCTTTGAGCCAATTAAAAAAGTGTCCTCAAAATTCGGTGGCGCCCTCTTTGCAAAAGCGCACCTTTTGCGAACAGAGTTATCCTACTTGAGTTTTTAAAAATCAAAGTGAAACTAGCAAGTTTTTGAATGAATTTCGGAAGAACGCTTTTTTAAAATGGTTACGCTGACAAAAAACCTCTTCCGGAGGAAAGGGTGATGGTTTTCTTCTTTTAATTTGACTTTAGAATGAAAGGCGAGAGGTCATTAAAAAATTTTTTAAACCTAAAACTACGCACTGAACGTACCCGAACTGCTGATGAACAGCAGTCGATCTGCGCACGCAAGGAGGTGCTATTCCTATTCTTCTTCTGGAAAAACGAAAGAGAGCTTCAAAACAGACTGCAGCGCCATCTGAAGCAAAGAGCATACTTCCTGTGGACACTTTTTTGGCTGAGTGGCCCATCTTGTTATGTACTATCATTGATCTAGATCTAGTTCTAGTATCGATATTTTCAAAAGATCGTCCATCGATGGACCCCTGGAGGGGAATCCCCATTTCTAACTCTTCAGTCTTCTGTGTTCATATATAGTCGTTCGCCTGTTTGTTTATCGGTTGATGGCACAGAATAGAATTCAATAGGGCAGCTGAAAAATTGTAAGGTGTTGAAAAAAGATACACTAGATAACGTGATCTGTCATTTATTTTAAGTTGAAGACCTTTGGAATGTTGACCACTGCCCCATCTGATTTAGACATTAGATACTAGTCTAGATGAGGGATTTAAATTATAATATTCCTGAGGATATTTGTACGCGGCAGCTGGCACTAGATATCTAGATTTCTAGCTAGATCTTCTGTTCATGGGCTTGGTGGAATCCGGAAGTTGGGATGAAATCATGCTAGAATCTAGATCTACATCAACATCTCTAGATCTAGATCAACATCTTCTAGGTCTAGTTTGAGATCTCTAGATTCTAGATCTAGATCTATATCTAGGTTGAGATCTAAGAGCTGTGGATGAAGCAAAAATATGAAGACTAGGGCTTGGACTAGATGTGGATCTAGATCTGACGTCTAATTAATTTGTTTGTTATTCGAGAAGGATTGTGTTTCACTCTGTGATGTGTTCCTGGCTAAAAACTTGAAAGAGTGTAGCACAGGTAAGATTCTCCTAGCGTTGGCGTAGGCCTAGATCTAGACTCAGAGGTCCACTCACGAAAGCTTTTAATCACCATTTGAAGTTATATAATTGTCAGTGTCTTTCATCATCGCCATCATTATGTTCATTGCCATTCTTTTCTGACCTTTCAGTGATGTGAATGATGAGTGTGAATGTAAGTTGCACCTTACTAATACTTTAACTTTACGAAGTGGCTTTCGGACTCGAATCCGAACAGCCACTGGATGCTATTCGGACTTGTGTGCTGTATCGTGAATGGCCGTCTCATTTAAGTTTTCATTTCCCATTCGACCAAAACACAAAACTAACAAACAAAAACTACCACGGCGGATAAAATATATTAAAAGTGCACACTTTTGCATGACCACTATTATACTATAGGCCTACCTACTAACAAACTAAGAGAAATAGCACGGGAAATTTTCTACATATGAAAATCTACTTCACACTCAAGCATGCTTCTATTTACTATTAAGCATTTTACACGCTTTTTAAGCTTTCTCCCAATGACCATGCTTAATTTGGCTTAAAGCTGGCATGGACTGTACAACTTGTGAAGGCCACCTCTATTCTCACCCGGGATGAGAATAGTGCAGGCGAGTCTTTTGGCTATTCTCACCCGGTGCGCGTTCACCGTTATAGCCTAGATCTAGGCCAACAAATTTTGCGTTCACCCTAAACCACAGAATTCTACACTGTGATAACAGAAACATTGTAGAATTCTGTGCCGTGAACAAACGTTCCATTACAACTGTAGCTGTAGCCTACCAAAAACGTACAATTTTGTCTGTGGGCAGTGGAGAGAGAGAAAGAGAGAGAGGAGTAGCGCGAGAACTTCCGGTCAAAACAAAATGGCGACCCGCGTAGTTCGGCTCGATTCGAAAAGTTAAATAGCTGTAGCATCTTTGTAGACAACCAAATTAATTTACTTTTGTGTTTTAACATCATTTTTTAACTTTGTTTTGGTCAATTTGATTGTCCACACCGATAGACAGTATTCAGAAAGAGACAGAGAGAGAGAGTAGTAGTAGTAGTATAAGGTTTTACGGCGCTCGCAACTGCTATAGAGAGAGAGGGGGGAGGAGTAGATCTTGCGAGAACTTCCGGGCAAAACAAAATGGCGACCCGCGTAGTTCGGCTCGATTCGAAAAGTGAAATAGCCACAGCATCTTTGAAAATGATCAAATTAGCTTACTTTTGTGCTATAACGTAATTTTTTCTTGGCTTTTATCAATTTGATCATCCACACCGATAGACAGTATTCCAAAATGAGGAAAAGCAGGTCTTGTTTCGCACCGGGTGAGAATAGCCTACGCTGGCAATTCTCACCCGGGGTGAGAGGTAGATCGTTTTTCTATTCTCACCCCGGATGAGAATAGCCACTTCCCACATGCGATGCCTTAGAAAAGCAGTAAGCAAGACCAGGCGAGACAAAATTAGAAACACAGTAATCAAAGAAATGGTGGGCACAAATCATGTCATTCATTGCGTCCAACACCAAAGAATCAAATGGTTCGGACATCTCATGCAATTACCAACACACCACCCAGCACAACATGCCTATCTACATAAAAAAAATTTGATGGCAACAAGGCCAAGGCTAGAGGGCGACCGAGAAAGACTTGGATAGATGGAGTCAGGGAAACATAAAACAACTCACGGCATCCCCCTGACCCAAGCTCTCCGGCTGGTGGCAGAGAGTCAGAGATGTCTCTTTCTTCCAGCGACACCCAAATAAGGGTATAAGCGTTGGATAAAAGTAAAGTAGAACGTGAGGCATTTGGTTAGCATAATTTGGCATGGATCACAGGAGGAAAGCCAAGTTGATCAAGTTTCTGCGGGGCCTTCTAGTTGCCTACTTGTAGGCAGTTGTGTCCCCATTCATTTAGTGACTTGGCACTCAGAGCAGGATTGCCCTACCTTTCCTTATTATTTCTTTAAATTTTCTGTTAGGTGTTTTAAGTTTAAGTAGGGGGGTAAATTTTTACTTTCATTCCCGCACACAGGGTCAAACTGCAGTATTTTAAATTGCTGCAGATCACACATTTATAGCGGTATCATTTTAATGCATATGGACAAAGAAATAGAAACAAGAACTATGAAGGCAAATGCCGTGACCTACCAGCTAGCATACCTGCTCAGTCACAAGAACATCCCAACCGAAGTGAAATCCCAGCTCATCAACAGTGTCTTCATACCAGCATTAACATACCAGTTGCAAACAGGGTCGCTAAACAAGGCACAAGAAAGAAAAATCAATGCATGCGAAATGAGGTGTCTCGGCAAAACCATCAACGTCACCAGAAGAGACCGCATAAGAAACGAAACCATATACAAACTGGAATACCACCAGTGATAAAATTCATAGAACGTTAAAGAGTCAAATGGTTTTGACATCTAACCAGAATGCCCCAGAAACAACTAGCGGCTAGAGCTTACAACACCCGAGAATCCAGCTTCAAATCAAGAGGAAGACCAAAAAAGACCTGGCTGGACGGGGTTAAATTGGTCCTGGAACAACATGACTGTCACAGACGCTACACACCTAGCACAGGACTGAAACTTTGCCCTCCCCTCGACATCCTGAGGAAACAAGAGGAAGGAAAAAGTTTAAAAAGTAAAAGTAGGCTATCATATTAATAAAAAATCTACTTTCACTCCCTTCTCATCCTCAGATGTTGTTGTAGCATTTTTCTTGTCCATTTCTATCTGTTGCCATTTTATTTTCACTTCCACATGCAGATGCACTGCTTTTGGGAGCTAAACCACCATATTTTTTTCAGCAGAAACATACATCATGATGGCCACCAAAATCATGGCAAATAAATTGTAAAAAAAAATCTCAAAGCTAAAAATTTGCAAAACATTGATTTGAAATATAAGCCCCCCCCCCCCCCCCCCCCCTCTTCCTGGGCATTTTTAGGTCGCGGGGATGGTGGTGGGAGTATGTCTCGCTAAATCATCATGATTTTTAAAAAGGTGTGTAATTTAATGTAACTCTGCAAAGGTATTTTATAAAAACATGAAATCTCAAAAACTAGTAATTTGTGGTGAACATAAGAATAAAGTAAATTAATGTAAAACAGATAAAAATGAACAAGATAAGGGCTAATCGGCTGTATAAGTATAGGGTGGCATGGGTGGTCTAGTGATTAGGTTCTCGAACTCTCAACCGTAAAGTCATTCTTACAAATCTCGACATCATGTCCTTTCATATGAAATTTCCTCACTTCACCCAGAAGTGGCAATGGGTATCGAGGTATAGACAATGAAAGATCTTGTTAGTTTATTAATGTTTGAGTGTTTAATTGGCTGCTTGTGCACTGTATGCTGCTTGGGAAGCTGAGAATATGTTTGAGTGTTCTTGGGTCTGCTGTGGTAATAATAGTTTTCTTTTTATAAACTGTTAAGAGTATGCTATAGAGCGTGGTTATTATGCACTATGATATAAGTTTAATTTTTATTTTTGTTATATTATTCTATTGTTATTATATTATTTCTCTATTAAAGAGCACTTGAGTATGAGACAGTGGGGGAAGTAAAATAGTACTTACCTTTGCATTGACTAAAATAGCTCACTATTTCTGAGGACGTGTTAGCATGAACATTTTGTGGCAATTTTAGATGTGAGCAGCTTTTAAGGCCAACTTTTTGTGAAAATGACTGACCATGGCTGCATTGGACAGGTTATAGTGAAAAATACAAAGGTGTAATGGAACGGTGGCCATTAGTACAGGTGGCCTCTTAGGCAGGTTCGACTGCTATATATTGTAAAATCTAGTTGAGTAGTAGTCCAGATCTACTGTCTATAGTAGGCCTATAGAGATGTTTTCAAGATATTTTCTTAAATCTCTGTCTGTCTGTCTGTCTGTCTGTCTGTCTGTCTGTCTGTCTGTCTGTCTGTCTGTCTGTCTGTCTGTCTGTTTGTCTGTCTGTCTGTCTGTCTGTCTGTCTGTCTGTCTGTCTGTCTGTCTGTCTCTCTCTCTCTTTCTCTCTCTCTCTCTCTCTCTCTCTCTCTCTCTCTCTCTCTCTCTCTCTCTCTATCCACTCCTCTCATTCTGTTTTTCTCTCTCTATGGGTCTTCTCCTTCCCCCCCCCCCTCCACCCCCACCCATTTTCATAAAAATTTTCCTTCTACTTACTTTCTTACTCATCCACTGTGTTGGGGTCACTGCTGTCGGAACATGTCCATCTCTGCTCTCCCCCCCCACTTCAGGATCCATCCCAGAGTCTGTCTGCTTATAGTCTCCATCATAATCTGGTTGGAGATCCATCGGACTGGTCCGCACATTTCTACTTACCAGTTACCTTTCGTTCTACTGTTCAAGGGTACCAATTGACTAATGCCAATGTAGAGAAAAGTTTCTTTTAAACATTTTTTTTTTAAATGTAAGAGTAACACCTGGGTATAAATTATGCTGTATGCATGTATTGCAAATGAATCATGGAACATTTCTGATGGTTATGAAAGCTTGTTTTCATTGATTTCAGCGACGTGGCTGACTGTTTCCAAAAGGATGCACCAATTTTTCTGCCAGTTGCAATCATACCTGTATATATATGCTTAATCATTAAAGATTTGATGAAAGAGTTACAATTTATATTTGTACATTATATTATTGTCTCTCTCACAGAGCCATGACTTCCTTTGGGCTGATACTTTTGACCTTTTGTCAAGCCACAGTCTGGGTGAGTATTATGCTATTGAGACCACATGGTTATTTTGCTTTTTCAATGTTTTTAAAAACATTGTCATCATATTATATTAGTCATCTCAGTTTTATATCCAACTCTGACCCAAGTTGGACCTTGAAATTTTGAGGGAAAACTTGGTAGAAAAGGTGTAGTTAGGCACACTCTTTTGATTCCTACATTTTATATAGGCTACCTTTTTTTTCTTCAATATTTTACATATGTGAGGCTTTGTGGTGAAATCAGGTGCATGTTGAAACAATTAAATCAAAGAAACTGTAATTTTTCTGTCAGTTTGGCAACTTTTATCGATTTTTTGGTTTCTTGACTCAGTACCCTTAAGGTCAATTAAAAAACACATGGAGGCTCTCGTGGTCTAATGGTTAAGGTGTTCGCCTTTCATTCAATAGGTCGTGGGTTCAAATCTGGATAGCGACGGAAAATTTGCTTCTCTAAAATGTTCTCCTTTCACACCCTTTCCTGCTCTCTAACAATGTTCTGTCGTATGCTTTCGTCTCCTCTTTCTGCCCCCACCCCCTCACCTCCTTTGCCCTTTCCTCTGGGCTCCTGTCTCTCTCTGCAGCCTTTCTATTGCTACTTCTTGGCTCCTTCTTACTGCTGTCTTTCAGCCACGTCCCTGATCTTATGGTAGGAAAGATCTACACCTAGCCTTCTCAGACATGGGTGAAATAACTCGAAGGTCCCGTGTGCAAGTTGCGCATGTTTAAGATCCCTTGGTGGTCAAAAATCGATAAGAGTAGGCTTGCAAAATTCAAAATTTCATATCAACTGAAAATGTTTAATGTGTTCCGCGTGCTCATATGACCTTATGTAGTTGCGAGCGCCGTGAAACACTTACAACCCCCCCCCTATTTCTGTGTGGATTTTACTGAAAAATGCTGATTTAAGGCACAAAATGTAAATTTGCAGTTTTTAAAGACTCTTAAGTTTTGGAAGTTGCTAGACTTTTACAGCCATTTTCTTGCTAATTTTACCTCTGAAACTAGGTGATTCCCCACTTCCTTCAATCGCTAATATCTCTATTTGTATATGTGAGGTAGCGTGGTGAAATCAGGTGCTCGTCAAAATAATGAAAGTAAAGAAACCTATACTTTTCCGCTGGTTTGGCAATTTTTATTGACATTTTTTTCTTTGGCTCAGCACCTTCTATGTCCATTTAAGAACCCATTTCAGTGTGAATTATATTTTTAAACGTTGGTTAAAGGCACAAAAAATGTAAATTGTCAGTATCCTCGGACTCTGAGTCTTTGTAAATAACCACACTTTGGTGGCTATTTTCTCACTAATTTTGCCTCTCAAACCAGGCGAACACCACCTCATTCAATCGCAAATATCTCGACATGTACTCAAGATAAATGGGCAATTCTTTCATCAAAAGCAAGGCAAGTAAACAAGCTTTAAGGCGATACCAATAACTCCATATGCCCAAAAATTAACGAGTGTCTGATTCCATCGCGTTGTGACACTTATAGTTTTTGTCTTTTCTCAAAGTTCAAGTTCAATGCTTGAACCTGAGCACAAGGATCAGGCTACTCTGATGTTTGTAGTATAGTGTTTAAGGTCTTATCCATTGGAAATAAGAAGCTTGAGGTTGATTCCTGAATGGAGAAGCATTTTTCCGTAGAACAGAATCAGGCTTTTCCGTTCCTGCTCAAATTACAGAAAAAATAACTTTAATGACTCTAAGAGTTCTGAATATGATGAAATATGAAATGATTGATATATCGATATCACAGTGAAATATCTTCAGCAGTAGCAAGGTTTGAAAACTTTTGACTAAAACTGCATTGGTGAGCATCAGCCTGAAGGCTTATGTGGTGTCAATCCACTTGATGGTCAACCGCGATAATGCAGTTCTGCCTGACTGACCATGATCTACCTGATGTTCTGCTGCATTACTTTCAAACATCCATTTCTAACATTTCTAATATGGCTAATCACAATCCCAATCCTGTATAAATGCAGTGTTTAGCATTGTGGATTGTGGTAGATTATAGTTTGTTTGTCAAGTGGAACAGACTGATCGGATGGTAGACCATCAAGTAAAACAGATATATCGTTGTAGATCACCAAGTGGGCTGGCACCTTTAATGCTTCGTGCAAGTATGTGACACCCCCCCCCCCCCCAAACCAAACAAAGCCAAAAACAATTTAACCCCCCCCCCCCCCCCCAAAAATCATATAAATTGAAAAATCTACAGAGACTTTTTATTTGACAAGGGCCCCATGTATAAAAAAATTTTTTTTTTTTTCAAGCAAACAACCCCCCTTTAATGCTTTGGGGGAAGTTTTGGGCCCCCCCCCCCCCCCCCCCCCCCCCCCCCCAACCAAACAAGCAATTTAACCCCCCCCCCCCCCCACCAAACAACAAATAAATTGAAAAATCTACAGAAACTTTTTATTTGACAATATGTCCCCATGATAAAGATAAATTATCATTTTAAAGGAAAAAGACGCTCCACTAAAGTACTCTTACATTTTTTAAATAGAATCATGTTCTTGAAATTATAAGACTAGTGCTTGTCTGTCATTTTTATGTGCACAGTCAAATCGGTACTAAAGTGAATAAATCGATCATAAAATCCTTCATCAATTATTGTACTTGTACAGAACATATCTATGTTTACAAATGGGGCAAAAACACTTATTTTTAGCCTATTATTTGTTGGAAATTCTGTTAGTGTTCAAGGTTAAAGTGCAGCCCATTTTTTTTTCAACTTGTAAGCCACTATGCTGTGTTTTTAAAATTAAAATGAAGAGGGGAAAGTAATTGCATTTTAATACTTTAAAAAAAAAAATCCTTTTTCAGGTATATGGAATTAATGGACTCGCTCTGATTTCGGTGAAGCGACATTTGCCTCAAGGTGCTCCTGGATGGGAACCTGCTGGAACATCGGAATGGAGGAAAATCAAGAGGGAAAATTTGTTGGCAGAGACAAAGAGAGAGTCGCTTTTCCCCGATACTCAAGTTCTTCATAGGAATGGAAAGTCTTCAAATTTATCAGCATTGCTTTTCCGAAGTGATGGCAGAGAAATAAAATGTGCTGATGGATTTTTCTTAAGAGAAAACTTATGTTGTGCTTGCGACTGGTGTAGTTCTGTTCATCTTGTCGTATGGAACTGTTCAACAAAAAGAAATGCTGCTTGTGTGAAAGCTGTACCTCAGTCCAGTGAGTAAGAGAATTAAAATTTTATATAGACAGAATCATCAAATTAATTATCTTTATGAAGTATTGAAGTAAATTCTTCCCTTATTCTGTTATATCAAAGAAGTAACAAGTTAAGTGGTAATTTATCTTCATTTGTTTTAGAATGAGAATCATTAAATTGAGGCAAACCTGTATAAAACGGAAACTTGTCTTAACGGAATCTCCCCGCTTCCCCCTTGATATATTCTTCTTTAATTACCTGTATAAAACAGAAGCCTGTCCAACGCGGAAACAGAAAGAAAAATCCACTCCCTTCCGAGGGTTTCACCTGTCTTAGATGGAAAATGCTTTGCCCGCTCAGCACTGATTTCTGATTTGAAACAAAACTCGCAAGTTTGGTTCTGCCGGCTTTAAACTTAACACCATGGCTGGGCGAGGAAGGGGAGTCGGGGTGCAATTTGGGGTAGATGTTACCCCATCATGTGAACCCTGAGCGATGCAGATGGTCAGGGTAGTGAGGGTGTGAAATCTCACGACTGCCTGTGAGAGTGCTTGAGTACCGAGCCACTACGGAAACTTTCTTGGGTAGCCAGAAGCCAGAGGTGTGAAATTAGACTAACCAAAGCCTGTAGCCCTGATCGTACAGCCTGCCGAGGAAAGAGTTCCTCGAATCGTTGTTACATGATGGCAGTGAGGAGTGGCACTGATTGACTGTGCTTGTTACACCGATGGGTAGGGCTAAGAGTGGAAGCAAAGGAGATGTTTGAACGTTTCTGTTTTTAATAGGTCAAACAGTGGTCCTATGAAAGGCAAGCACTGGTGGTAATTGGATAAGTAAGACTGACGAATGCCATAGCAATGGAGAGGTGTAAAGTTTTGACAATCGCTTGCCGATCGGACAAGCGATCGTTGATCTCACCGGCTGGGCCTGTGAACCCCCCACCCCACACCCTTTCCATCTCACCCTAAATTCCCCTGTCTAAGACGGAATTTTTTCTGGCTCCCTTGCGATTCCATCTTACACAGGTTCGACTGTATTTGATAATATCTCATTAACTTATTTCTTTTTTTTTTGTTGCTTTCCTACTTTTGAATAGCTGAATGCAGAGAACTATTACAGAAGGCACAAGAACAGTCCTCTTTTGACCGATTGTGGCAGTTACTGACGACATACATGAAGGATATCATCAGCTGCTTTCCCGAACTGCTACCAACAATGCTTGAGGTTAGAAATGCCGTTGACCATAGATAGATTGAATGCAAGGGGAACATGTTTTTTATTTCTGATTTATAGTAATTCTGGTAATAAGTGATGAAACTGATGAAGGGTATGTGCTAGAATATGTATTTTTCTATAGCAGGCTTTTTTGTTTTACAGTTGTCTTCACATATGGTCGTGATATTCAGAAATCAATGTAATGTTCATTGTTAGTGGAAAGAGATTCTTGCCAGATTAGAAGGAACAACCACTGACCTCCGCTCTTCTTCCAATATCTCACTTGCTTCTGAAAATTGTGTGGCTTAGCACATGATCATGATTGAAACTGAAGTTGTATGTAAGAAAAGCTAATTGAAGCGTTGAGTGAATTTCAGTTTTTCAATAATTAAGCCTCTTTGAGAACACACAAAGAGATGACACCAGTGGTTTTTTTTTTTTAGAGAAGTTACACTGTCGACAGAGATAGTTCTAGGTTTCTGTCTTGAGGAGCTGAGACTTCATTGACTCTACGTATAGGTATAAAAATATTGTAATCTTTCTCTCTTTTACAAAGAATGTTGTCAATGCATGCCAGCTCATTATGGTCCCTCCAAGCCATCAGCAATAAAGACATGTCCAATCTTGGCATATTTAGGGGATAATGGTTGGGAAAGTTTTGCTTTGCTGAATTATGCTGGACAAAAGTTGGATCTTAGGTACATTTTGCCATGTTAAAATAGGGTGAAGGGAGGGACATTGACATAGCAGCACTGTCCATGTATTGTAACTAAATATTTCATGCCACTTTCAGCACAATTTAGGTGATTTCGGAATCAGGCTGATTTGACCATACCTGTCAAGTCCACACGGGCTGAGAGGGATGCAACATGTCAGCAGTTAGATAGAGATATATTCTATAAAAAAGCCTCCCTTACAGGAATTGAACTTGCGTCTTCTGCATGCAATGTTGAAACGCATAACCACAGTTGCTGGTATAGCAGGACTTCTGTTTTGGGAGTCAAATGGGGAATAAGTTACATTTTGGGGTGAGGATTCATGTTTGCTTTTACCCATACAACTGTGAGCTTATACTGAACACAATTTTTAAAAATGCAATACAAAACTAATGGCTGAATTATGGAGTATTTTTCAATGATAACATAGCAATCGAAATTTTTAATTTAGTAAATTCTTTAGTTCAAAATAATTAAAATGCAGCTGAATCATGCTCAAAGGAATATTGAATTCTACCTTTGTTTAAATTTTGAAACCTGAAAGAGTGTGGTTTCTTCTTTAAAAAAGTGACTCAAAGATTGGGCCACCAGCATTAAATGATAAATAGTTAACACAGCTTTCTGTCTTCAATTCTTTTCTCACCACATAACCCAGACCATGGCAAGGCTACCTACTGAATTTTATGACAATTATCCTTTGGTAATGTGATCACCACAATGCAGCCCATCTGCCCCTTCCACCCCCCTCCCCTTCCTCCCCCCCATGTCTCTGTCCCTTGAATCACGTGGTGTATGACCTGAAATGGTGGGCATAGGGTGGTAAGCACCCTATGTAGCTACACTTCTTCCCTAGCCCTTCTTTCTCTGCAGTCTCATTTTCTTGTAGTATCTGTGGGTTTTTAAAACACTCGTGCCATCTCTCATCATTGGTCTTGGAGTTGCTTCAATGTCTCTACTCAGGCTTTAGGTTTTTGTGCTAATTAGCTTTACAGAAAACAACTACACCTCTATGCTGATACTGATTCTGCCGAGGGATAATATTATGGTTTCATTTTGAAAGTGTCTTCTCTGTACAAAAATAGCACAAAGGAATTGAGAAATGTGGACAAAAAATCAAAAGGATAATTTTCCAACAAGAAGTCAATGAACTTGGTGATGGAGGCTGTTACCTCATTGTATTGCTTTTTCAAACTTCTTTTTGCTCTTTCTTTTACTATGTTTTTGGGTTTCCAGATTTTAAAACTAGACTGAGCCTGGTGTTGAATATTCATATTATTTTCAGATTGGCGGCCATGAAGTTACAAAGGAAAATGTCATAAGAAAAAGAGATAACAGACGATGGCCGAATAAGGCAAAGCGACCAGTCATACAGAACTCAACAGTCCCAATGGTATTTGCCACAAATGGCTACAATGGAGTGGAAGACGAAATGGCAGTGGCAGGGGGAATGGAAGAAGCGGGTTTTGTGCCAAGGGGTCACTTTGCTTCAGATAAAGACAAAAGCATGATGTAAGTTAACTGATTAGTTGGGGCTAAGGTAATGGAGGTTTGGTACGTTGGTTTTACAGAATATGAATGGTGTAGGACTCAAGTATAACTAGTTTTTCTATTAAAAAAATATAATTCAGGTGTTTTACGCCCCTATTGACAGAATTGAGGTCATTTAGGAGGTGAGCTGCTTTCACCCTGCCTGTGGGAGCCAAAACAAGGGGAGACAGAGTAGAAAGATGGAGTACTCAATAAAAATCCCCCCCCCCCCCACATAGGAATCGAACTCCTGCATTCTGGGTGTGATGTGAAGCACCTAATTGCTACACCGCATGTGCCGGTAGACCAGGTTTGAAATGAATGTTTCCAGCATCTAATTATGAAACATAGCGTGTCTCTCTCTCACTCCCCCCCCCCTTTTTTCCGTCTTGTGTTAAGAAGCTAAAACAAATGGGCTAAACAAAAATTTCAGTTCCTTTAGATAATTGATGTAACGAGACTGGATGAGATAGTTAGTTTCTTTGCCATCTCTTGCAAAATGTTTTGTCAGTATTCACAGGTACATTTTGATAATTTACACCATTGTAATGCCATACAAAATAAATACAATAAATGAGACCAGGTAGTGGGGACCGAGTGCAGTCTTCTCAGACAAGAATAAAAGTCTGTGATGTTTATAATTATGCGTACTTTCCTGCTTTAAATCAGTGATTGTCCTGTCAGTAAAAATTCAGGAATATGCCATTTTTATTTGTTGTTTGCGGTTCTATCCCAACTGAATAATCACATTTCACCTTTGCTTACATAAAGCTACCTTTGTGCAAAGCCATTTTTTCCAGTTTTATTTTTAAGGTGGATGGCTTATAGTGCATATAAGTCACAGTGTCTTCCAATGCATGCATCAATGCAGAAATAGCTTATGTATCAATAAAGCTAGTGCATCCTTTGGAAGACCCAGAGCAAGACATGACATTGAACAGCGTTGATAACTTCAAATGTCTTGGCAGTACACTGTATCAACTGCCCACATCGAGCAGAAATTGCTTTCCATATTACAAACAAAATTATTTCATTCTTTGGAAGACTAAGAGCAAGAATCCTGGACTGCTGTGGCATTCACACATAGACTAAATTGCAAGTCCACAACCCTGTTGTACAGTGCTTAGACCTGGACAGTGTACTAAAGCCTTGACAAGAAGCTGAATCATTTTCACATTTAATTTCTCAGGAGAATTCCTGGCATCAAATTGCAGGGCAAAATAACAGGCTCTGAAGTTCTCAAAAGGTCAAATGCCGAGAGTCTGTGTTCTAAGCTCGAAAGAACCCAACAGTTGGTCACTTTTTCACTGACAGTATTGATACAGAACTGGAAACACAATATCTTTTAGATGCAGATGTCATAGTTGGAAACAAGAAAAAAATAGAACTTTCCTAATTTTTAAAACTTTCACTTTGCAGTAAATCCTGTAATTTTTTAATGGTGATGAATTCTGTATCTTTTTCTTCCTTTTTTTGTTTTTTTCTATAACCAGTTTCAATGACCCTGTTCCTGGCTTAGAGCATGCTGAAGGATCCTCAGGTGAGTCATATGCAGTGCAAAATCAGGAAACAAATGCTGCCTCTTTTTTTTCCTCTTCATGTTGTACTCAGCTACTTAATAGCAGGTTTTGCGACAAACTTTAATTCCAGTTATTCTCGAATGTCATACAATTACTTTTCCCCTAACTTCACAGCCCCTGGAGTTTTTTGTTGCTAATTTGCCTAGGGAAAAGGTATGAACAAATTTGAAAGTTAAATTGATAACATTTTTTGGTCTGTGATTAATTTCTTTTCATAGTCTGAAATCATACAGATATTTTCATATTTGATGCTTGGTCTGACGTTGTGTCCATGGGAAAGGTATTTCTAAGGAACAAATTTTCCTCATTTCATCCAGCCATAAACAGAAAAAGATATTGCCAGTATGTTAGTGTTTTAGCACCTGTCTCTTCCTAGGAAGAGATGATTTCAGAATGTTTTCAAGTCTACTGGGATAATAATATAGATTGTAGAGTGCCTAGGGCTTGCTGTTGAGTGGGAATTCGCACTATGCCAATGCTATTTATTATTATGTGGGATTTTATGTTTAAGGAAGGGGAAAAGGGTAGGGGGGGGGGGGGGCACTATAGATGAGGGCTATCTCGCTTGTTTGTGGACCAAATTTCACCCTTTATCAAGCGCATGTTAATGTGTCTTACATAGTTAATATCTCGCTTATTTTCAATGGAAATTGGTTATTATTTTGCATGCATGCATGTAAGGAAATAATAGCTCTTAAAACTTGTTTGTTGAATTTTTCCTAAATGAATTACAAACTTTAAAATAATTTTTTTGTTGAGGTAGTATTCAAGGCTGCAAAAAAAATCAAAGTTCACACTCCAGACACCACCAACAAAAATCTATTTCATATATTGTAAATTCAACAGTCACTTTTTTGGTGTTACATCTTCTCTTCATTCTTTGAAAATTTCGTGAAGAGTGGATGAAAAAAAACATGTAGTAGAATAACAAGTGTTTTTAAGAAAATGGGCAGTAAAAGAAAAAAAGAGGGACATTAGAAGGATATGATGGTGACGACTACCTATTAAAGTGCCTGGTATATGACAAAATAAAAGTTTAGGGGGGTTCTTATATGATGAAATAGTTGTAAGAGAAATAGTTGTAAGAGTGGCTGAAAAGGCCAAAAATGCTCACATCTCAAATTTGATCCAAATCGGAACTTTCAGCTGTCGCCCTTGTCTTAATAATATATTTATAGAAAGCTTTGGGACGCCTTGTGTGCTTACTCTCACCGTCGCTGTCCCTGTATTTGCGGGAGATGAGATGGCTTCCTCTAGCAATTTAAAGAGAGTTGTGTCGAAAGTGAGAGAGGCATTCAAGATGGCTTGAATCCTGATCTTATATGTAAATTTGAGACTCATTTTTTCCAGTCCTTACATAATTTTTGCCAAATTTTTGTTTGTGTTGTAAGTATAGAGATAAGAGAGTATACTGCTGTATTTTTGTGTGGAATTTGTGGATATGTTATATGTAAGTTAATTTTCATGAGAACTGGCATGTTTTTCTGAAAAGGCAGATGTGCCATGAGGATTACGGATTTCACTTTCTTCATCAATAGTGATTTTTCTATTTCATGGCTTTTGCCTTGGCATGTTTAATAACGCATTGATTTTTTGTAGCATAGTACAGACACTTTATTTCTTGAATTTGCGACTTTTAAGTCTATTCTTTCTCTTAGGTAAGGAGAAAGCAAACAAAGCAAAAAAAAAATAAAAATATATAACATTTTTTTTGCTACTAATAGTGGAGTACATCAGATGTCAAGCTGATGGCCTGAGGTGAAAGGAAACATGTCGGGTAAAAATGTGAATGAATAGAAAGTGTGCTGCAAAGTAATATGAGAATGGTTCAACACAAACAAATCTCTTTCCCAGACTCAGGAAGTGGCACTGCATCATGGGTTTACATCACAATTGGAGTTGCTGTGGTACTGCTGTGTATCAGTACGTTTGTCCTGACATTGCTGTATCGGAAGAGACAGTCTATCGAAAGGTCAAGGAACATCAACAAACCCCCACCCACTGGAGCTGTAAACCCATCTTTGTAAGTATTTCCGTAACTGTGCTTTATAATTTTATCAATAACCTTGCTTTGTAAATTGCTCAATGACCCAACCCAACCCATCTTTGCAAGTTGCTCAGTAACCCAACCGAACTGCATAGTTGCTCAATAAAGCATACATGTCTGCATGAAGACCTCTGACTTTTGGCCTATATGTGATGTTTCAGTCCTTATTGAATAACCCATCATTGTAATTTTGTCAATAACCCTAGCAATGCCCACGGAGCGCGTTTTGTTCTGCCTATTTTTTACCCCCGCCGCGGGGGTGTTTCGTGGGACGCACTATCGCAAAGGTTGTTGTCTTCAACTCGCTCTCACGCCGCTTCTTGTGAATGGATATGAATGAAACTTGGCAGCCAATCAGAAAAGAGGTCAATCTCGTAGTATGCAGTTTGACAACATTGTACCAATCCTAGAAGCAG